CTGAGGAAAGGACACACGCACCCGGGGGTGACCCGGGGTGTGTGCAACAGTGCAAAACCCCAACACAACCCCCCGCCCACGAGGGGATGGCTCACCACGGGGTGTGCCCTTAAGTGCAGCAGCAAAGTCGGACACGCCAGTTGCGGACATCGGGGGTTGTGGATGGGATGGACACCAACATGCAACGATAGCCAGCTCTGAAGTGCTGGCCAGGTCGGATTACGACCCTCCCCTCGCTATCCGTACTCATTCCGGTCTGAGCAGTACGGATGCGGACTGGGTAGGTGGGTGGGTGTCCACATAAAGATACGGAAGAAACGGTAACATCCTCCGCACCCATCCCCAGCGTAGCGCTGCTGAGCTGAGCTGAGCTGAGTGAAAACGCCATTACAGGCTGGAACCCGTTCATCAGGGCCCACATTTAAGATCCAAGCCAGAAACCAGATTCCTAGGCCTGATTCCAGGATCCAATTCCACATCCATATACCTAGTCCGTGGGACTGAGGCCCAGAGTCTACGGGTTACAACTCCCAATATCCAGGCCACAAAGGGAACCAGAACCAAGATCCAAAATCCAATTCCGGATACAGAACCTCTACCCAGGTGACCCACATCCCGATCCAGATCCATTTAAGCCCCAAAGGTCCCGGGTGACCGCGCAGGCACACACACGCGCGCGGTAGAATGGGGATTGCATGGCATCTTAGCTGGTGGGTGTAGCTGGCTAGAGGATTCGAACAGGTGACTAAGTGGGGACGGTTAGGACTCTGACCGATATAACGCCCCTCCAAGGATGGAGTGCTTCGGCGGTCGCTCCCGTTGCGGTGCACGGTTAGGTGCCCCTGGCCAGCGTCAGGCCCGGATCGATATGTAACAGATACACAGACATACAGACACAGACACACACACCTCGCCCTCACCCACCTTTAAAGACTAGTCCATAGGAGCCCTGGCCCAGCGGTGAACCCACTGCGAGGGCGCACACTGACCCGTCCTCCATCACGCCCTCCACCAGCGCGGCGCCGGAGGAGAGGGCGGCGGCGGCGGCGGAGGGGGAGGCCAGGGAGGGGATGTGGCCGGCAGCGCGGCGACCAGGACCGGACAGACAGCGGCCCATGTCACCGCCCGTGTCATATCTGAACAGGGGGAGTAGGGGTGTGTGTGTGTCAGTGAGTGAGGGGGGAAAGGGGGTAAGACGAAGCACGGACGAGTGAACTAGATATACCAGATATAGACGGGTACTAATACTCCAGGGAGGGAGGGAGGGAGGGGGGAAGACGAACCACGAACGGGGGGAGGGGTGAAGGGGGAAGTGGAATGAGGTTAACGCCGCCTGTGTTATCGCTGATGGGGTGTTACAGAGTGGGAGGCTTCTGGGCCACTTGAACACATTGTCATTTCTACGATTTATCACCATACAGCACCATCCACCATTACCACACTGAACTAGGCCATACGCACTGGAAGTCCAAGGCGGTTGATCCTGTCTTCTAGGATCCCTCCGCCAGCCACCCGAACATCCGCAGAGACAGAGGGTTCAGCAGGATGACTTATGTACACTATAATATGTAGCACATATATATAGCACATGCAATACATGTAATACATTATATACTACATACATAAATATTTAGCACATATATAACACATACAGTCGATCGGAACACGCGACTGGCACTTGTGTGTGTGCGTGTGCTTGTTTGAGGGGGGGAGAGGCGGTTGGGCCGGTAGGTAGAAGGAAGGGAGATGGGCGGCATAGCACGCCGCCAAGTTCCCTGCTGTGCCCCGAAAGACATGAACGCGATCTCACACCTATCCCTCATCCCCCCCCCCACCAACCCCCTCCTCACCGGCCTCACACCTCCCCCTCTACAGTAAAAACATCAGCACCAGCACCCAGGAGCCCCCCGCGGGCCCTCTACACCCCCCCAGATTAAACTCCCCACCTCCCCACCCTCATCATTCCTAGTCCACCGGGGCCCCACACCTCCCCCTCTACAGCCCCGGCTCATAGCACCCCCCTACTGCCTACCTCGACCCCCCTAATCATAAAACCACTACTACTACCTGAAGCTGTCCTCAAAGTAATGACGCTCCTCCCCCTGCTGCTGCTGCAGCTGTTCAGGCCTCCCGTTTCCTCCCGTCGGACCGCTATTGCTGCTGCTACTGCCACCGTTACCCCGGGCTCCCGCGGCTTCTACAGCTACTGCCACCACCGGGGCTGTGACGCCACCACCCGGGTCGTCGCTGGTGCTGCTGCCGCTGCCGTGTGGGGGAGAGGTGGGGGGAAACGCGGAGGCAGGCCGGTAGGTAGGTATGCGTATGGCCAGGGCAATGGAGGCGCAGGGAGCAGCACTAGCATGTAAACGAGTTGTGTAACGTTTTTGTAATGCCATGTGATACCCTGCGGATCAAAGAACCGACACAGAAATTTGAGGGAGTTACAAAGTTCCCAAGCCCGTCATGTAGCCAGGACGAGGACGCCCCTTCCTAGCCGGCGCAAAAAAAGTGCTAATGCCTGTGGGGTTGCTTAGATCTTCTAAATGCTTTAATAACTAGATGTAGACAAGGAAGGAAAACCAATTAAGGTATATTTCAAGGATTCTGCCCTAAAAGAGCTGAACCTGCTGAACCTTCCACAATGGCATTGTCTTGGAAATTGTGACTTCTTTAGCACTACCTGTGCAGAACTTGATTTATTTCGAAGTTCGGGAGTAGTGGGGTTCTATTACCCATCCCTTTCGTTCACCCCCTAAAAGGGGAACTCAAGGGCGGATCATGCACCCCTCCACCTTGACCCCACCACACCCCCATGCACGCACACCCCTCGGTTGGCGGCTGAGACTTGGGGGTGCCTCACCTCCAAGTCGAAAGCCCATCCTCCACCACCCACCCGCAAAGACGGGACAGGCTATCGTGTTTGAATTATCTGAGCCGCGCTCCTGCCTCCTTCCCCTCCCCTCCCCTCCCCTCCCCTCCCCTCCCCTCCCCTTCCCTCCCCTCCCCTCCCCTCCCCTCCAACTCCGTCTGTCTCTTCCTACACCAGCATGCTGCCCACACCACGCCACACCTCCTGCAGCACCCGCAACCTTTCCGCAGTCCACGCCCACATACATCTCACCACACCCGTACATTTCCTCCCCCTAAATGCCCTAAACCCACACAAAACACGGAACAGCCCAGACCCCCCCAAAGCGCCCACCTGGCGGGCTCATGGCTACTGCAGCTGCCTGCATCCTTACCACCACCACCGCCACCAGCGGTCTCCACGTCAGCCCCGCCGACCGCCGCTTCTGCCTTGTGACGGCGGCGCTGGCGGCGGCGGCTCAGCAGCGTCGCAGCGATGATGACCCCAAGTACAAGTGCGGTACCTGCCGCCGGGGGTGCCGTGCGATCGTACCATGTCCAGTACCATATAGCTGTTCAGTTTACAACGTAATGTATCGATAACAAACCAAAACGCCGGAACGCCAGCTCAATCCGAACCCCGCCTCCTACTCACCCGCCTTGGCCACCTAAAACTCACCCCCTCACGCACCCCCCCTCCTCAACCCCCCCCACACACCCCCCATACACACGGGGGTCTTCCCCCTACCCGGGGCCCCACTCACCCCCGAATGCGGCAGGTAGGGCTATGGCCAGCGGGTTCACGTGACCGTCCTTTTCCTCCTCCTTTTGGCTCTGTGCGGGACCGGGACCGGATGTGGAGTGTACGTCATGTCGTCCTACAGCCGTCCCATGACAAGCTATTGCGTACAAGTGAGGCGCCCAACAACCTTTACAAACGTACACACATACATACATAACACGTAAGGCAGGCGGTGACGCCGCCCAACACACCGATGAGCCCTTCCCCCCTCCCCTGCCCTCCCATTCCCAACCTTCTCTGTCACACCACACCATCCCTCTTCCTCCACCTGGGCCCCCTCCTTTTCCCCCCCCGGGTAAATGCACCATGTGGTTCGGGAAGTCGGCAGCTGGTGGGCACTTTGGACGTGCCGGCATACGAGCTATGTACTGGACTTTTGCTGCTCATGTGATTTCACCCTTCACCCTCTCCTCTCCTTGCCCGTCCTTCTTCCCGTCCCTCGCGAGCCATCTTGCCTCCCGCGTTACCCTTCCCCCCTCACCCACCAGTTTAGCCAGGAAGTCGTTGATGACCTGCATCATGCACGCGTCCCCCCCCTTGCTCTGCAGGCACTCCATTGTCACAAACTGGTCGCATGTCTTGGAGGCGTTCCTCTTGGCCATCACGTAGCCCCCCGTCTCCGTGTCAGATCCCACATTCACATCCGTAAAGAACTGCTCGTAGTGGAGGACCTCCTGTGTACGTACGTATGTACGTATGTATGTAATGTGTATTTTGGGAGGGCGGTGAGGTAGGGTTATGAGTGCAGGTCTGCAACCCCACCAAGCGCCAGCTGCCATATGCCGGGGAGGGTGGGAAGAGGGTAGCGGCCAAGAGAGGCTGGAATATCCGTAGTGTAGGAGAGAAAGGAAGGGGGAGGAACCCATGAATAGCAAGGCACCCGGAGAGGTGGACATCTAGGGATTCTGGATAGAAATGATTCCCCAATACCCCCCACAAATCACCCCTTCCCTCATCCCCCTTTTCCGCCCCCCCCCCCCC